TCCGGCACATCCGGGTTTAAAGGCACCGTTTCCACTGGCTCCACTAGCTCTGCCTTCTGCTCAACGCCCTCAGGTCGGTGCTCAATGTCTGATATACTCATTGTCTGTTGCCTGAGCTGGGTTGGCATTCGACCTTCAACACTCGCCGGGGCTGCGGCGAGCTCGACCTTCTTGAACGTGTCTTGATAACAGGCTCTAGCCATCTTTTGATTCCCCTTCAGCACTCCTACCCCTTGAGGAGTTGGGAATTTCATACAGAGGTGGGGTTGCGAGATGACGGCCTTCAACTCGCACAGGGTGGCTCTTCCTAATATAGCATTGAAAGCTGATTCCATCTTAACGACCAAGAAGGTGACGGAAGCCATCCTGAAGCGTGGTTCCGAGCCCACATATATAGGAAGAGTGATAACTCCCTCAACCAGGACGGGTTGGTTATCAAACCTGTATATTGGCCCTTCTTGCTTCTGCAGCGAGCTTGGATTTAGCTGCATCTTCTGAAAGCAACTCCAATACAGGATATCAGGCGAGCTGCCAGTGTCAATAAATACCTTATTGACATTATAATTGCCTATATGGACTGTTGCCACAAAGGGATCGGCATGGGGCATCATAATGTCGGGTTCTCCTTCTGCTCGCTTGTAATCTGCCGGGTTGAATGTGATGGGCGTATTTTCCCACTCTGCTTCTTCAAACGGCCGTTTCAAGGGTCTGTTTTTGTTGACAGTCATCACCTGCCTGACGTATGCCTTGCGGGCTCGGGCACTTTGGCCCCCAGAGTGAACACCACCTGATATCATGTTAATTGTACCCGAGGGCGGGGGTATCCCGGCGTAGCCTACCCCTTTCTTATCTTTTTGGTTCTGGGTAGCAGCTCTTTGCCCCTGTCCTCTCCTGTTGAACGGACGTCCTCGGTATGCTCTGCCCTGCTCAGAAGGATACTGGTTATCCTGATATGCATCCTGCGTCCCGCCGTGCTGGTACCTCTGTCCTTGAGGTCAGTCGTACGCCTATACGAAATGGGTTTGAGTGGGTTGCTGTGTGTGAGGCTTCTGAACATACCCTTCTAGCTTCCCGTTACGAGCCAAAAACTCTAACTCGTCCTTCAAGTGTTGGCAATCCTCTGTATTGTGACCATATACACGGTGGTAGTCACAATGCTTGCTCTTGTCTACCCTCGGGGAATCATATAATGGGGGTGGGGGTCTCCTAACCCAGTGCTGAATTTGTGCCAGGATTTGTGACCTAGGTAAGGTCAAAGGAATGTAACTGGCATATTTCGGGAACTCAACTGGTTTCCCCCATTGCTCACTGACCTTCTGCTTCTTCTTCTCTTCTCTTCTCGGTTGATGTTCCTGGCCTTTGCTCGGCCTATCATTAGCTCGTCGCTTGGACGACTGAAAGTCCTCTGACAGTATGAAACTGGCCGACCTGTCATTCACCTCGTTCCATGTCTTCAGTGGGTTTTCAAGCAGGTCGTCTAGAAACCGGCCGCGCTTCAACCCATGCAACAGGGCGGACAGGCAGATCGTGTCTGGGACATTATCAATGTCCAAGGTGGCTTTGTTGAACCGCTGCATGTAATCCCTCAAAGACTCCCCTTCCTTCTGATCAACTTGCATCAGCTCAGTTGCTGTGCGCTTGATCTCCCTTTGGCTCGCAAACTTGTTAGAAAACAGCTCGGCGAGCTGGGAAAAGGAATCTATTGAATGTTTGGGGAGTTTGTGATACCATCTCCTGGCTGTTGACTTGAGTGTTACTGGGAACACTTTGCACATCATGGCATCATTGGCGTTTTGGATTCTCATGATGGCTTGATAGGTGTGTAGATGCTCATCAGGGTCACCCGAGCCATCATATGTCTCCAGGTGGGGAATTTTGAATCCCTCTTGATATGGCTCTGCCGTGATGGATAAGTTTAGTGGTGCACTATCCAAATCCAGAGTCTGTTTATGCGACCTGGGGCTTTTTAGCTCGTCAATAGATTTCTGTACATCCCGCAGCTGCCTTTTAAGGTCTGCGTTCTTTCTCATCAATTCTTCACTATGTTTGGACGAGCTGGGCTCGATATTTAACTTCCCACTTCCCCTAGGCCTGGTCGGCACTACTATATTGCTTAGAGCGGGGGAATTTCTAGTTGCAACAACCGCAGCTGGTTGTGCATCCCTGTTCAGCAAAGGAATCAGGGGGTCGTCAAGAATTAGGCGGGCCAGGATTTTACCCATTGCCATTTCGAGAACTCTGGTTCTCTCTTCGAGCTCGGCTGTCCGAGCAGGTTTTGTTGACCTTTCAAGTCGTTCATGGTGTGAATTGTGTGGTCTAGAAGGTCTTTGTCTTGTTCCTGTTGGAACTTGGAACTGTTCAGGCTGGGTTGCATACCAGTTGGTGTTCTATCGTCATCTGTTTCACTGAGGTGATCCTGTTCGGCTCCCCCAACGAATAGGTTTCTTGGCATTGGCCTAAAGTCATTCAAACCAAGCTCAGATAATTGAGTGTCCTCCTGTTTGTCTACTTCATTTCTTGGGGGGCGACCTCCTGTAAAAGTCTGAACCATCTTGTCTTTCAGCAGGTTAAGCTACACAACTTTTTGTTCAAGTTTCCCACAGACGGCGCCAAATGTTCGGGCAGCTTCACAATCCAACACTGTTGAAGTCTTCTAAATGTTCGGGCAGCTTCACAATCCAACATTGTTGAAGTCTTCAGCTGCTTCTACAGCTGAAAATCCCGAGGATGCTTCCTCGGGGAAAACACTCCAACGCTCAAGTCAGCAATACTCAATATTCTAGAGAGAGATGCTCTCAAGGAGTAGTTGTAGAGAGAGAAGCGTAGAGATTAATTACCTTCATCGGAGGTAGTTGGGGGGTATTTATAGCCCCTTGGTGCTGATATATATCTGCATGTGTGAGCACCCCATTGGCCCACGTGGCGTTGGTCACGTGGGTATGCTTGTACTGATGCTCCTTCGGCTTGGGCTAATAGGTGGTAACCTAGGCCCATTATGCATAGCCCAACCCTGTTTGGGTGTTGGGCTGGGCGTATTCCAACAGTAGGAAAGTGGTAGGAACTGAGAAAAATTATTATTTGATTCTGGGATTTTTTTGGCCACAATTTTTATTTCCTAAATAGCTCTCTTAAGATAATCATTTTAGATTGGGTAAATGGGATGATCTTGCAAATATTAATGGTCTGTCTAATCTATTGTTTCCATTGTATCTGGTAAGAATGGATTATGGATTTGATACCTTCAATTGCTTGTTCAATTCTAAAACCCAGATCTGGGTTTAAGAGAAGAAGAAGAAGGGAGAAGAGAGAGAGAGAAAGAATAAGAAGAAGAAAGAAGAAGTACGAGCAAAGAAAGATAGGAGGAAAGGAGGAAGAAGATGAAGTTTGAGAGAGAACCTAGATCTGGGTTTACAGAGGTAAGGGAAAATGAAAGGTAAAGGAGAGAGAAAGTGAAAGAGGAAGAAGAGATGACGTGGATGGAGAAAAAAGATATCAAAATTTTTAAATTAAATAAAAATGCCACCTCGTAAGAAAAGATGGCAAACTGTGTTTTTTTTTTTTCCATGTCATTAATCAAGCAAAAAAAGAATTGATTTGTTGGTATTTTAACATGTCATTTGTCATTTAGCTGACGAAAGGATCATTTCGGTACCGAAAGTAAAAGTTTGAGGATAATTTTGATATTTTTTAAAATTAAGAAATAATTTTAATACCAAACTAAAAAATTGAGAGATCAAAATTGTACTTAAACCTTCCAAGAAATATGAAAGAAATGACATCTCGTTTATGTGAATTATTTTCCCCACGAACGAAAGGTCCAAAGAATAATTGTATGTGGGAACGTCTGCCTTGTAGGGTTTGTTTGGTTTGGTGCTTACCGTCACATGACTCACATCTGTCGCGTGGGGTATGGGGTTATGTCACTTTTCTTTGTTTTATTACGTTCAGATTCAGTGTTGGGAATAAGGCCAAAGAGCCACAGTTGTTAGTCCTTACAATCATAATGATGGAAGGAAATGGCAGACGCATGTAAATTATATATTTATATGGAGCTTGGGGTTTTGATTTTGCTTAGATGGTTAAATGCAAAACAAAAAAAATGATTTTTACAATAAGGATCGAAGATTTTTGTGTAGAATTAAAAACTCAACCGCAAAACAAATACCAAACGGGCTGCAATTGAAACCATATTTTCTTTCAATTCGGGTTCTCCAAGGAAAAAAAAGATGATCTATGTGATTGGAAAATTTATGATCCTGAATTCCCAGAAATTAAATTGATTTGATGAGGAAGAGACGAGAAGAAAATTAAAACAAACTCCAAAAATTCACTAAGAAAAATAAATGAGTTGCAAAACCTAGCTACCATTACAAAAACATTGGTAATTTATTATGTGTTTATCTCATTTTGATGGTAGGAAGAATGCTACCTTAGTCTTCAGATTGATCCCATATTTTAAGAGTTTCGTGTGTTTTTTCACTCATTACAATTTAATTTATTACGCAAGAAATCACTTAACAATTTTTACGGTGAATGGTAACCCTTTGCACTTTTTAACAATTTCTCACTAACCGCCTTTAGATCTAGATGAGCAACGAGGTTCTCAGTTCCTAATCCAAGTCGGGCCAATAATGACAAATATGCATCTGGTAGCAATAAGTCTTCACCCTCCTCTGCAATGTATGCCTATCCACATGCCAGAAACACCAATTTGAGATTCTTCTTTTAATACATCACTTAAAAGGTATTGATAGATTCGTTCAAACTGCCAAAACAAAAGCAAAAATATATATATTAACATTTCATAATCAAATTTCCAAAAGTCCAATCTCTAGAAATGGAATATGTTCTCATTCTTCATCAAAGGTCATGTGGGTCTAGTATGATTTTGCAGATTTTGCTGCCATAACGCAATACACCAATCCATTCTTTGGCATTTGTTGTTGATCATGCAGCTGCTAGTCTTTCTACTTTTAAAATATGCATTAAAACAATAAAAACAACATAATGATAAGCATAAACAGAACAAAATAAAGTTATCATCATGATCTATCCAATTCAGATAATGAAATAAGTAAACTTACATTTACAGAAAATTTAAACCAGATCAATAAAGTTACCATCAAGCTCAAATTCCAATTAAATACTGCTTTAAAATGCCAAAATCTTCAAGTTCCTACTAAAATAAATGATTCTGATGGGACACAAGTGAGCTTTCTTGCTCAATGTTGTGCTCCCTTATTGTTAAGTGAGAAATCAATCTTGTGAACTTAAATACAATTTGTGCGACTACCAAACTCAGAATACAAAAATGAAATGGCAGATCAACTAATCTTTGTCTCTTCCAAAGCATAAAAGCAGAGGTCATAAGGTCACAAGCGAATGTAGGAGAAAATTGAGTTACTCTCTCCAAGAGGAAAATTTACTACAGAGGACACGCTGGTCAAATCTCAAAATGTTGGGAGCCTGGGACAGCAACTTTCTAATCTGCAGCAATCAAACTTTTTTCATTTGAAGGAGGCTCAAGCTTCTTAACAAAAGGCACCCCTCTGATACTCTGCAAGAAAAAATGAATCTTTACTTGATAAGAATAGCATTTCAGCTAACATATCTGATATCCTGAACAAACATTGTGTGGAAAAAAAGCAACCACTGATATCATTATTACCTTTTGCTTGACTCAGCCAAGTTGATAAAAACTTGCAATTCAAATTAGAAACTCTTGCAGAAGGGCATGCTTGAGCTTGACAAAATCAGATCACAAGCTTGTCAATTGTCATTGTCTTTATCTCAACAATAGCTTGACAAAGGAAAAACAATTTCTTAAAAAAATGCAAAAAGAGAAAACTTACAAGGTATCTAGAGGACTAAACTGTATTATTTTTGTCATTTGCATTTGAAGCACAATCTAGTTACAAGCTTGGCAATATCACTTCAGACTATAACCTTTCCACTTCTAGTTTCAAGAAAAATCCCATTCGAATGTGCTGTTCTATATGCCCTTCCAATTTCTTCAAAATGGAAAGAAAGAAAAAATAAATATATATGCAAGATTTTCCAAGAATTTACTACAGATTTTTTTTTTAAATGTTTTGGTAAGTAATTTACCATATAGATGAAAGTCAAATGGGAAAATAAAATTTTAAAATACCTCAATATTAAATTAATAAAATTTGTTACAAAAGAGCTTTCTTAAAATGCCTGGTGTAGCAACTTTATAATTTCATTTCCACTGAAAGGAGGATTAAACTGCTTATAACAAAAGGAATCTATTTGCAGGAAAAATGAAACCTATTTCTTGATAATAAATAGCAGTTTAGTTAACATATCTAATGTCTTAAAATCACCATTACCATTTTTTAACTAACTCAGCCTTGCAGAAAGAAACTTGCAATTTTGAAATGCACAATAAGTCTTCCTTCCAGCAAGAAGAAACTTTTCCAGAAGAGCATGCTCTGAGCCAGAAAAAATAAGATTACAAGCTTGTCAGATGTCAATATTTATATATCGATTCTTAGCCTAAACAACAAAAAACAAGTTCCCAAAAATGTAAAGAGAGAAATCATACAATGTGTCTACAAGACTGATTTGTATTGATTTTGTTATTTGCATTTCAAGTACAACTCTGCTACAAGCTTAGCAATATCTCCACAGATTATAACTTTTTCCTCTTCTAGATTGTAGAAAAATCCCCTTAGAATGTCTTGCCTTTTGCATCCAATTTATTCAGAATAGAAAGAAAGAAAAAAGAAACAAGGTAGTTGAAACTAGGAAAAGGATTCCAACTTCCAAAAATTAATCATATCTCAGAACATACCTTTCGTGCAGGCACCAACCTTTTCATAATCAAATCTACTAAAGGCTTCAGCATAACCCTTCTTCTATGATGCCTTTTCTTCAAATCAAGATCGGAGCACTGCATAAAGCATATAACCATTTTCATTTAACCAACACCTAAATGGTAAAGTGATTCTTCTAATGTCAGAATAGCACCAACCAAGATTGAACCTAGCATCAAGGGTCCAGGATATGAGACATTAATTGTTCTAAGAAAATAGAGGCATTGGCAAAAAAGAAATGTCTGGAATACAGTTCAAGTGATCTGTGATCAGATCTGAAATAAACCAACTCATCAAATAGGGTGGATTTAGGCATTAAACTTACTTAGAATTTGCATGGATTTCTCTTTCAATTACCATCGCTCATCTTCACAAGGCATGGTTGGATTTTGTTGACGTGCTGAAGCCTACAAGACACTGAAACAAACTACTTTCTCATGTCGAGAGCCACTTAAGTATATTAGATTGGACAAATCCTGTTACTCAAACCATACAATGTCCATAAAAGATTCTAACATTTATATTCATGAACCCCTCCTGTTAATCTTCTTCCAGCAAATGAATCTACAAGTATGAAATGGCATGCTTTATCACTTCAATTATGATGTATTATAAAATGAATGCCTTTTATTCACATTGAAACACAAAAACCAAATGTATATACAAGATTTTGCATGAATTGACCACAACTAAGCATAATTTGAAATGTGGGTGAAAATAAAATTGAATGAAATTGGAAAAACAAAAAAATTTGCAACTTCCGGAAAGTAAGCCTATCTCACAACATACCTTTTTTCCCAAGCACCAACCTATTTATGGTTGAATCCACTAAGGCTTCTGCACAACCCTTCTTTTATCATGCCTTTCTTGAAATGATGATCTGGGCACTGCATAGAGCACATAACTATTTTCATTTAACCAACAACTAAAAGGTAAATTAAATTTTTCTAGTGCTAGAAGGCCTAGAAGTGCACAAACCATGATTGAAACTAGCATCAAGGGTCCAGGACAAGAGGATACTAATTGTTTGAAGGAAACTGAGGCATTAGCAAAAATGAAATGTCAGCAATACAGTTCAAGTGATCCATAATCAAATCTGAAATAATGCAGTTCATCAAATAGGATAGGTTTAAGCCTTAGAACCAACTCTTTACTCAAATCTCAGCACACATAACCAGCTGTAGGGCAATTAAATAGCATGACTATCCAGATAATCTCAATAGAAAAATGGATAAGGAAGATCAAGAAAATGTATTAACTTAATCAGAAGAATTCTTGAATGAGTTAGAATTAGTCCAAGGAGTTTGATTACCACACAGCTTTTCAGTGAAACTATCAATGAATACTTGATTCCAATAAGGTAATGGTGTTAGCATCTACCCAAACAATGGTAATTTCAGTTTTTTTTTTTTTTTTCTAATTGCAACAATAGTAACAAAAGGAGGTATATAACTAAAACATTAATATTAAATCCAATGAAACGATCCTCAGAGGAATTAAAACTTACAGCAAAAGATGAATTAAAAGGGTTGACATGTTGTTGACTCTTATACTAAGCAGCTATTTATATATTGAGCAGTCAACAAGTCTTCACGGATTACAAGGATGGCAACTTTCCAATCTCTAGAAAACCAACATCTTTTCAATTGACATAAATGTTAAGCTTCAAAAATACAAAGATCTCCTCCATCTCATGCTTTGGGCTGCAAAACGAAGAATAATCCTTAGTAGTTTTCTTGATTACTACATAACCTTTCAGCTATGATTTGTTATTGGCCATTTCTCTGTGATTTAATATCCATATCCTGAACCAAAACATATGAGGAACCTATGGCATTAACAAAAGTATAAAAAAGAAAAGACAACACTAAAACCAATATTACCTTTTATTTAGATTTGAATTCATTCGACTGTCATCATGTTTTGAAGCTAAAACAGAAGAAGAGATTAATTAGATTAGCCATTTTCCAAGTTTCTCACAAGAGGGTGAAAAAAAATTCAATTACAGAAAAAAAAAAAAACTGTGAATGATTATGATGGAGTATTTTTGTAAGAATTACCATAAACAAAGTTTTTGTTTTGTCTCTGAACTTGCGTGGCTTTCATCATCCTAAAAAGAAAGAATAAGATTAAGTTAGAAAAGATTAAGTTCCAAGATATAGTAAGGGAAAATATATTCCTAAATTAATTCTCAAAAGACAAAAATTTATTTGAAAATTTGAGAATAGCTAAGTAGTACCCAAACTTCAATGAAGGGGATGCGAGCTATGAGGGGCCAATAGTCTCCTTTCTCCTCCAAGCATCGTCGTTTTAACAACGGGCAGTTTCTAATCTGGAGTAGTTCAAGCAAGGGAGGCAAGCCTTCCTTTGGCAACGACTGCAGCTTTGGGCAATCCTCGATTGTTAAATCTTGAAGAGAGTTGAGGTTTTGAAGGAGCCCTCTAGCTATGGATTTCATATTTTCAACCTTACCTACCACAAGACGGGTTAGAGAAATGGGGAGCACATCAGGATCAGGACATATCCAATTAATCTCCAAGGATAGAAGAGAGGTGAGGCTGCTAAGGCCCCATTCCTGCATCGGCTTCTTCAGATTCTTGCAATCAATTGTAAGACTTCTAAGATTTGGGGGAAAACCACGGTCTGGAATGGACTCAATCCCTTGACAGTCGAAAATTTGAAGATCTGTTAGGTTTGGAAACAAACCACCGCCTGGAATGGACTCAATCCCTATACACCCATAAATTTGAAGCTGTGTTAAGTTTGGAGGCAAACCACTGTCTGAAACGCACTTGATCCTTGGACAATTTCTTATATATAATGTACTGAGAGACGTGAGGTCGTGCATCTTGTTAGGCAAAGACCTGAGATTCCTGCAAAATGATATGCCCAACTGTTTAAGATTGGAGATGGACAGGGAAAACGACTCCAAACCATCACAATCGCCTATCGATAAAAAAGTGGGCCCACGCATGTCCTCAAAACATAAACTTTTCATATCACCTCCATTAATACTTATCCCTTGAAGTTCCGTACAATACTGCAGCATCCTTTGAGGCGGAGACTCCAGTTGCTTGCAATTATTGATATAAAGCCTTTTAAAAGAATTGGGTAATTGACCACTAGGAAAAGATTTCAGACAAGGACAGCTGGTAATATGTAAATTTTCAAGTTGCGACACTTGATATGCATCACCATTATTTATCAATATGCCTTCTGGTAGAGACTCTAGCTTTTCACATCCCCAAATTTGCAGAACTTTAAGCGTGGTTGGTAACTTGCCTCTTGGAAACCTTCGAAAAGCAGGACATTGAGCAATAGTTAATTCTTCAAGTCGCAGCAACATCATTATCTCACCAGGCAAGGAATCCAGCGCTTCACACTCCTTGACTTTTATCTTCTCAACACATGCAAGGTTTAAGATATTGACTCCCTCTTCCCACAAACAAGTAAGTTCAGTGCAAGACACAATCTCTATATCCTTGAGAGCTATCATGGACTCAACAAAACTCTTGGGTAGGCAAGTCAGTTGAGAAATTTTTTTTATACTCAATGTTTTGAGGGAGGTGAGATTGACCATACTCCTCAATACTACCTCACTACATTCATTTATATGCAATTCTTCAAGTGATGGAAGACTAAGTGGGGAGTACCTCAATTCTGGACATCTGAAAATCTTCAACTTTTTAAGAGAAGGAATGCATTTCGGTAATTTTCCTACCAGCTTAGGGCAGTTTTGTAAATCCAAACTCTCCAATGCTAGAAAAGTTGAAGTTGAAGACGAATTGTCTCCGTCAAACTCAAGCGTCATATTTTTTAATGCATCCATGCCTGCACAAAAAAGGTAGCAAAATCAGTTGAAAAAAAAAATATATACATATATATATATATAAACAAG